GAGGGGAGACTGAGATGAGCTCTTAGGCAGAAGCTCTTCCCTGTGAGGGTGCTGAGGCGCTGGCACAGGGTGCCCAGAGAAGCTGTGGCTGCCCCATCCCTGGCAGTGTTCAAGGCCAGGTTGCACACAGGGGCTTGGAGCAAGCTGCTCTAGTGGAAGGTGTCCCTGCCCGTGGCAGGGGTTGGATCTGGATGAGCTTGAAGCTCCCTTCCAACCTGTCATGGATTAAGCCCAGCCAGTTACTCGGCACCATGCAGCAGCTCACTCCCTCCCTCCTCTTCTCCCCACCATCTCCCAGCAGGATGGGGAGGAGAATAGAGTGTAAACCCCACAGGTCGAGATAAGAACAGAATACAAAACTACTGCTACTGTTAACAAGGGAAATAACAAGGGTAGATTGTATGAAACTAAAAAGGGAAAAGGGAAAAAAACAATAAACAGCAGTTTACCACCCACCGACCTATACCCAGCCTGACCTGAGCAGTGATCAGTCCCTTCTGGGTGACTCCCCCAGGTTTCTATCCTGGGCATGACGTGCTGTGGTATGGAATATCCCTTTGGTTAGTTTGGATCAGGTGTCCTGTCTCTGCTTCCTCCCAGCTTCCTGTGCCCCTTCTCACTGACAGAGCATGAGACTGAAAAGTCCTAGGTCAGAGTACTTAGCAACAACTAAAATCATCGGTGTTACCAGTGCTGGTCTCAGACTAAAGCCAAAACACAGCACTACACCAGCTACTGAGAAGGAGAAAAATCACTGTTAGAGCTGAACCAGGCTACAACCCAGTGATGCTATGAAAATCTCAGTCTCAAGAGAATTGTTCACCTCTGCTGCTGCAAGAGGAGGACTGCGTGCCCATGTACTGCTTCCCAGATCACCATAGGCAGTGCTTGGCGTGTAGTGCATAGCAGCAGGGTCACTTTGGGGTTACAACAGCAAATCTTTTAAAAGTAATCACACTTCAGAAGTGATTTAAGCACTCGGGTTTTTGGCTGAAAGCCAGTTGCTGAGATTTATTCCGCACCCTATAGCTCTGCTGGTCTGGAGTTCCTGCCTGCGTATGGGTAGAGGCACGGGTATCAGAATGGTTTCCCTGATAAAGGGCTGCAGGACCTTTAATGTCCACAGCAAAAATAAATACACTTTAAAGGGTTCTCTAATTGCTATTACACTGTAAATGTGTAGCAGAATACATGGGAGGGATTTGGCTGTGATGTAAAGACCAGGCAGCATCATTTATATATGCTCATACATGTCTGCAGGTGTACAAGGGGGAAATCCAGTTGCCTGCGTATTGGTGTCTGATGCCTTTGAGACACTTCAGGTTGTCTGGGACATACCCATAGGGCTGACAGGTACAACCTGAGTTTTATGTTAGTTTGGGCCAGGCAGAACGCTGAACATCACCTGAACTGACAGGAGGTGTTCGTGCTGTGCTGAAGCAGATAAATCTTTGCCTGAGTGTCCAGGCTCCTGTTGTATTTGCTGGCGATGCAATTTATCACTGAAGTCTAGAGGGTGATTCCGCTCACCAGATATTAACATGTGGTTGCTGAAGTACTGTCCAGCAGCTCCTGGGTCTCTGATGTGTGGCCCGCTGGTTTTATTCCTCTGCCACATCAGGTGAAACAAACAGGAGTAATAAACAGTTTGAAATCCAAACCGGTTCGTATTTGTGCAGTGAGCATCTCAGAACTCATAATAATACATTCAAATGTGAAAACCTTAATGTTTTTCTGCAGCTGGAGCCCTGTGCAGAAGGAAACCAATAGAGCCAAAGCCAAGAACTTTCCATCACGAGTGCAATCACTGCTGATTGCTTACACCTCCCATATAAATTTCAGCGTCCTGAGCATGTTTATTCACCCATTAAGCACTTTCCTTGTGAATTAGGATTTCGGTTGTGTTTTACCATGGCTAACTAGTATTCAGTGAGTTACTCGCTCAGGGAAGTCGAGAACTATATATATTGAGCCAAAATACTATGGCACCTAAGAAAACAGGGGGGTTGTTCCTATTTCCTGGTTTCTCTCTGTCTTTTATTGTATCTTGGTTTAAAAAGGAGCCAACAATCAACAAGCCCACTGTGATGCTTTGGATTAGGCCTCACCAGAGAGCGTCAAAGTACAGTGTCCCTTTGTGAAAGGAGTTTTTAATGACTGTTAATTGTACTTGGTAGCTTCATTGCTGAAGGGAAGCGGAGGTGACCTCACCCTGGAAGCTGTCAGGCTCACGCTGGTGTCATTCCCTGCCTGAAGAAAAGTTTGTGGTTTGGTTGTTGCTGGTTTTAATGAGGAGCACTGGTGGGCCCAGCAGCTTTGGAAACACTGCCCAGACTCTGTTTGAGTGCTGTGCTTGTCTCTGAGCTGTTCAGCTGCAGAGCTCGGTTACAGTTCAGGAGCGGGGGCCCAGCAGTCTCAGACCTGTGGTCTTTCGGTTCCGGTAGCATCCCTAGCAGCAGTCAGTACTAAAGACTTTAGGGAGAGGTGATGGAGTCCTTACAGAGGATGATTGCCAAAGATCTGAGGGTTTACTTCTACTCTTTCATACTGGCTAATTAATAATCATGGATGTTTTCATTACTATCCAGAGACTTCATTTCTTAACTCATTGTGGTTCTTGGCTTTGGCACAGCCTGGAGAAGAGAAGGCTTCAGGGAGACCTTGAAGCAGCTTCCAGTGGGGCCTTCAGGAAAGCTGGAGAGGGGCTTTGGCCAAGGGCCTGTAGGGACAGGCCAAGGGGAATGGCTTTAACCTGCCAGAGGGGAGACTGAGCTGAGCTCTTAGGCAGAAGCTCTTCCCTGTGAGGGTGCTGAGGCACTGGCACAGGGTGCCCAGAGAAGCTGTGGCTGCCCCATCCCTGGCAGTGTTCAAGGGCAGGTTGGACACAGGGGCTTGGAGCAAGCTGCTCCAGTGGAAGGGGTCCCTGCCCGTGGCAGGGGTTGGAGCTGGAGGAGCTTTAAGGTCCCTTCCAACACAAACCAGGCTGGGATTCTTTGCATTTAAACAAATGCAAAGTATTCCCTTGCCCTTTGCACTGCAAGCTGTGCAGGGCAGTGTTGGCTTTAGGTGTGTTTGTGCAGGTGCCAGGGTGTTAGTACCAACCAGCCTTTAGTTGTGACCATAATGTAAGTGTCTAAATATTTATGAAGGCTTTAGCTGACTGAACATACATCCTTCTCTCTGTGTCAGGAGAAGGACGAACTGGAGTACTCTTTCATCTCTCTTCACTAGTCTGTATTTCTTAAGCTGTTGCATTGCTTGATCTCAAATGAACCTTCCCTAAAATATACTGAACTTTACAATTCCCTTGCAGTTCATCCCATGCCATCTGCCACGGTGTCTGCTGAGTATTTCAGTCCTGACGAAAACCTCCGTTTCTCATGGGTCCCTCTGCACTCCTTCCTCAGGATGCTGTGACAAGCAAAGCTGGCAAGTTGTTCCCACCTTTGTTGCTAATTATAGGTCAATGTAAAGACACCAGTTCTGACAACCTGTGTCCTGAGAGGTGTTTGAATACCTAACTCACAGTGTAGTGAGGCTCTTGAACATGCCTGAGGCTCTGGGCTGGGATCTCTTTTGCTCAAGCAGTCTCTTGCTTACTTGCAGACCCATAGGATGGTTTGGGTTGGAAGGGACCTTAAAGCTCATCCAGTTCCAAGCCCCTGCCATGGGCAGGGACACCTTCCACTAGAGCAGCTTGCTCCAAGCCCTGTACAGCTGCCAGGGATGGGGCAGCCACAGTCTACTTTGTCTCAGATGTGGATTTAAAGCTGCTGATTCTTCCTCCGTATCAAGTCCATTGACTTGGAGGTAGACAAGAGAGCAGGTGCCAGCAGTTCTCTCGACAAAGGAAGAAGCATTCAGCTGTTTCATCTTCTAGCCCTGGCCTGGGGAAACCTGCAGAGTCAGTGAGCTTGGTCCATTGAATGGTTCTCCTCACCGCTCTGCCAGAAGTGTTGGGAGCTGTGGTCTGGAGCTCCCACTTTATCTCATTCCTTTGCTTTCTGCTGCTCATTAGAAGACAGACTTGAATCTCCGTGGTGTGAGATGTCAGGGCTGTCTGACATGGTTCTCATTCTGCGGCTCTGGGGTTTTGTTTAGGCAAAAGGAGCTAAATTCTTCCTGAATTAGGCACATTTTTCAGTAGAAACACGGAATGCTGAAATCAGGTCACTTTGCACTGACTTTATTCAGTCCTTCCTTTGCTATCTGTAATGTGGGGGTTACAAGTGCACTTTGAAAGGATTTTTCTAACAGCTATGGTAGTTTGTAGCATTTCTGCAGTCTTACCAAAGTGTTAAATACAAGTACTCCCAAACCTGTTCATCAATCAGAGTTTGGCATCTTGTTCTGCTTTGTTGGGTGTTTTTCCTTCTGTTGTTAACAATGTGGGACTGTTCTTATCTGTGCTGTTGATGTTACTGTACTCCATCTGTACTCTGAGTGATGGAGGTGGGTACAAAATGACATCTGTAGGACTTAGCTTCTCAAGTGGTAGGTACTATGTTGGGCAGGGATTTACATCTGCATACAGATACAGGCTGGTTCATCCTGAACAGAAATGCAGGAGACCTGGAATCCTGGAATGGCTTGGGTTGGAAAGGACCTTAAGATCATCCAGTTCCAGTCCCCTGCTATGGGCAGGGACACCTTCCACTAGACCAGGTTGCTTAAAGCCCCTAACCTATGTCACTAAGGGCCTCATCTACATGGGGTTTTAACACTTCCAGGGACAGTGAGTCCACCTCTTCCCTGGGCATCCTGTTCCAGTGCCTGACCACCCTTTCAAGGAAGAAATTGTTCCTAATTTCCAGTGTAAGCCTCCCCTGGCACAGCTTGAGGCTGTTTCCTCTTGTCCTGTCATTTGTTACTAGGAGCACAGCTACACCCCTCTGTTTTGAATAGGTGCAGAATGATGGCTTAACTTGAGCCTGCCCTGCAGCGAGCATAAAGCAAAGCTGTATTCACAGGCTGGGGCTGAAGATCTCATTTCTTTACAGAGGGCCCTATTTCAAGCTCAGGAGGAGCAGTACACATGGCTGCTGTGGCAACAGATGCAAAGCCCTGCCGTGGTGGGAGAGCAGGGTTTGTTCTCATCTTCCACATCATCACAGCTTCCTGCACTGCACCACCCTGCGTCTGGGCACTAAGAGCACCTGGCATGAAGACAAGAGACATACCCAGCGCTGCCAGGCAGCAGCAAACCTAGCACAGCTCCCTCTCTGGCACCAGAAGAGCTTTTGATGATGATGATGGACTTCGGGGGCACACATTCCATGTGGGCACAACTAGCTCTCGATTTCCAAAATCAAAACAACTTGAAACTGCCCTGGAGCAAAACTAAATGAGTGCAATAATACCAGAGGATTGAGCAACATGCTAAGGACATGTTGTTTCCTTTAAGGATCCTGACTCTAAATGATGTCACTTAGATAGCTGGGATGTTTGTGAGCACTACAGGGCTTGGAAAGGGAAAGCAGATCGGAAAAACACTGGGAAGCTGAACAATTTGTTTTGTTTTATGACTCCCTGGTAGTTTAATGAGGGAGCTATTACTCATGCACTGTCACTGCACATCTAGAAAATTCCTCTGGGTTTCAAAACTGGCAAGAGAAAGTAGTTTCCTAAAAACCACTGAATTAATGAGATAAAGCCCATTGCTCAGGAGCCCCTGACAGGAAGGGTCAGAGGCGGAGCTGTGCAGGACTCACAGTGTGTTGGAAGCCTTCCCCACAGGGCGTTGCAAAGAGCAGAGTGCTGCTGGCCATGGAGGAGTCATACAGCAGATATGCTCTGCACCTCCCTTTTAGTGTGCAGTGATTTGGGGAGAAAACTGATTGGTTTGATAGGAGGAAATCCTTCCCCTCCGTTTGCCTTATCTGGGGTACTAAACAGATGAGATTTAAAGTAAGGTTTTCATAGAATCATAGAACAGTTAGGGTTGGAAAGGACCTTAAGATCATCCAGTTCCAACCCCCCTGCCGTGGGCAGGGACACCTCACACTAAGCCATCTCACCCAAGGCTCTGTCCAGCCTCTCCTGGAACACTGCCAGGGATGGAGCATTCACAACCTCCCTGGGCAACCCATTCCAGTGCCTCAGCACCCTCACAGGAAAGAATTTCCTCCTTATATCCAACCTAAACTTCCCCTGTTTAAAGTTTTAACCCGTTACCCCTTGTCCTGTTACTGCAGTCCCTATGGGCAATGGTCCAAGGCAATACATGGGTAATACTGGCACTGAAAATGAGGGAAGTAGACTTAGGGAGAAGAAAAAGAGCTATTTGTTGTGGACTTAATTGTACAGCTTGAAATGAACTTTCACAGTTTCATAGTCTGTCTGGCAGACTTCTGACTTCCTGCTTTGTGTCTGCATTCTTGGATAGGTCTGTACAGTGCACTTTGCATATTTACTTATTTCAGCTATTTTAGCCTATCTTGTCCCATCCAGACAGGGCACACATTATCCTCATCTCAACTTGAAGCCTAATGTAACTTTCATAGCCTTTGAAAGCAGGATGAGTGCTGTTCCAGTTTGATGTAAGAGAATACTGCAAACACAAGACTGCTCCAGATTGGGAATGCAAGGGAATATATTCCTCACCAGCCCCCTGACACAATTACTCCCTTGTAGCATAAGTTCCTGTCATTCCTTTTGCAAATCAGGCAGCTAAAGGAGGGGCTGTTAGGAGGGAAATCCATAAGGAATCTGTGAAGTGTGATATAATGATTAGTAATAGCATTCAAGAGCCTCCATAACAGTTCTGCTTAAATCACAGTACCTCAGACGGCATCAGTCATGCCTTGTCTTATTTCAGTGCTGTACTATAGTCTGAATCAGTTTTGTCTCCTCTCCCTGTTCCTATCCGTGCAAGCACTTCCAAAATTCTTTTAATTATTGTTTTTTCCCCCATATACAGACTTCAATCCAGAATATTACCATTTTTCCATGAAAATACAGCAGTAACACAGGAAAAAGAGTGTATTTTAACCTTCACATCAGAGAGATGCTTGCCTGTGTCCCCTTATGCATGCAGCGTTCGTTCTCTTTTGAAATACCCAGTTCTGAGCTGGTTTTGAGTTCTTTCTTCAAGCACATCGATGCCCAGTTTATGATTCTGTGCTGGATTCTTGCCCTTGGGTGTGGAACTCACTGCCTGAGCCAGAACTGGGAAATGCTGTGGAAGTGCTGGATCACAGAGCAGAGCTCGAGTTTCCAGCAGTGTGGGACACATTGAGGCTGTCAAGGCTGAGGGGGCACTTCTGGTATTAGAAAAGGTGCAGGAGTGTGGATGTGATGAATTATCACTATTTTGGCATCAAAATAACCAGCACAAATGGAGGCACTTCAGAGGGACCTCATTTGTGGTGCATTGGACCACAGTTTGGGCATCAGTATTCTGAGGATATGCATATACAGGGCAGTGAGCACAGGGAAACTTAGGTTGTTCTACCTGAAGCAGTGTGACCATTGAAGGGGATGCTCAACCTCATGTGTTGGATCTGTGCAGCTTTGGTTTTCCAGGGTTGTGTGAAGCTAAAGGCTGAGAAGACATAAAAAGGAGCTCTTCTGCTTCCTGGGTTAGTGCTTCATTGACTCCAGTGGCAGTGAACACCAGTGCTGCTGTGCACCCTTGTTCTGGAAAGAGCTCTGCTGCTGGCATGGATGTTGGTGGGGTTTGGGTTCTTTCAGGGGGTTTATATGGTGTTGAGTCTGCTTTTTCCCTAAATGGATTGCAGCAGAATCTAGGTGAGAAAACAGGTTCCCTCACTCCATGCAGGACCATGAGCAGCAGGTAATGCCAGGCTCTAACAACATGCTGCTGCTCAGGCAGTAACGGAGTAGAGAGTTTTATCATTTCAGACTCCAGGCACCTAAATTCTGCCAAATTTAGGCAAAATAAAGGCAGGCCACGTGTCTGGTGCCTGCAGCCTCCCACTCTGGTGGCAAAGGGCACTGGAGAGGCAGATGTCTGCAGACTGCTCAGCACTGCATCACCCTTGGAGTGAAGGATGGGGCTTCCCCAGAGCTCCAGTCCTGTGTTCTGTGCTGATACAAGAAGAATGTTACGGCTTGCTATTGATGGACATCGACCTTCATTTTCCTGCTAATGAGGGCTTTAAGTAGTCTTAACGTTATGGTTCAGCTGATTTCTCTCTTGGCTAGGTGTGTGTCCTTCACCGCTTGTGCCCAAGCGAAGCTGCTCAAGGTGGATCCCGTGCAGACGTATGTACCTACTGCATTCAAACAACTGTCAGGTTTTACATTTAAAGACTCCTCTTTTTATTCAGCCTTACTTTGTGAGGACCTTTGCAGCTGGCATTACACAGCACATACTTTATTACCCCAGTCATCACTTTGACCATTTTGTCCTTTTAACCTCCCCAGTTGCTGCACTAGACAGTTGTGGGGATAAGCTGGAGTGAATTTCCTTGGCTGGTGCTGAAACCACAAAGAAATCCAAAGTAGTTCCGTGAAAAATGAATCTCTCCGTGAAACTATTTGCAGTGGACTGAAAGGGGGGAGTACAGAATGAAAACCCAGCTGCAGGGAGGTGGCTGTGGGGACACCATCATGGGCTGGCACATATCACTTTTCCTGCATCCGTCGTCTCAGACCTGTTTTAACCACAGGGCTCTTAGTGCAGAATGGCCAGCCCTGCTGAGCAGGGAGCAGACCTGCCTGACGCATACTTACTGCTGTTTATCATAGAGTCCTAAAACCCCAGGTTGGAAGGGACCTCAGGGATCATCTGGTCCAGCCTTTCCAGGCAAAGCATGACCTAGACTAGATGTCCCAGCACCCTGTCTGGATGAGTCTGAACAGTGTCCAACGCTGGGGAATCCACAACTTCCCTGGGGAGATTATTCCAGTGGCTGATTGTCCTCAGTGTGAACAGTTTTCCTCTTGGGTCCAGTTGGAATCTCCCCAGGAGTAACTTGTGCCCATTATTTTTCCCATGTGACTCCTTGTCAAAAGCAAGTCTCTAATCTTCTTTGTAGCCACCCTTTAAATACTGGAAGAGCATTACGATTTCTCTTCATAAGTGACTGCAGCGATAGGACAAGATGTGATGGGTTCAAACTGAAACAGGGGAAGTTCAGGGTGGAGATAAGGAAGAAGTTCTTTACTGTGAGGGTGGTGAGGCACTGGAATGGGTTGCCCAGAGAAGTGAATGCTCCATCCCTGGCAGTGTTCAAGGCCAGGTTGGACAGAGCCTTAGGTGACATGGATTAGTGTGAGGTGTCCCTGCCCGTGGCAGGGGGTTGGAACTGGATGATCTTAAGGTCCTCTCCAACCCAAACCATTCGATGTGCATTATCTCAGTTTTGCATGTCTTGGTTACAGTTTCTTCTCCTGCCTTCAAGTGCCCCTTTTCTCATCACGTCCAATAAATCAAATGGAACTCACAAGATACTACAGAGCGACACCAGGATGTGCCTGTTAACAGAGTGGAATAGATTAATTACACGCCGTGGACTAGCTGAGCTCATTTAGTAATTGATGAATTAATTTAATCATGACTGTTGCGAATAGGAAACCTTGAGTGCTGGCAGAATAAAGAGCCAACCCTCTTCTTCACTGTATCATTAGGGGTTTCTATGGGTTTAGTTTCCCTTAGGCTGGTAATGGCCACATTTAGGAAGTTACACCCTTCATTTGCAACTTGGGGTTCTTTGTGATTCCATCCTGCAGCACTTCCAGGCTGAATTCCTTGGAAGCTTTGACGTTTCCAGTTGCTTTTTCTTAGCCAGCTGTCAGCACTAGCTCTTAATCCTTATCTCTTTTACACTGGGCAAACATTCCACACCATCAATCATATTGTCCAGCTCGAGATTCCATCCTGACTGGGTGTCTGTAATTCCAGGAGTCTGTGATCTTTGTGAGTGGTTTGTACACAATGACATTCTCTCTGTGCACATTCTGCATCTTCCCTCTGCCAGATTGCCTCTGCAAACACAGGTCTGACCCCTGCGCAGTCAAGTGTCGTATTTGCACCTCTGTGCACCACTTTATTTCTCGTCTGAGATGTGTGCCTAACCTGCACACACGTGAATTGATGGCAATCAGCTGCAGCTCAGAACGGTTTCAGCAGAAAAGAGCTTTCTCCTGTGCCAGCCCTTTGTAAATGCCACAAAAATACCTTTCTTTAAGCCTCTATTTCAGAGCTAGACCTTGCAGTGATGCTGAGATAGGCCATCAGGCTGTTCATCTGCCTTTATATCAGATTTTATTGTCTCATTATTCCTTATGCTTGCTCTTTTTTTATGTCTCTTCATTCTTCCTTGCCTCAGGCAGTAAACTAGAAACCAAATGCCTTTCATCCTGTTTTATGTGAAGCTCCTAGATCGGTGTCTTGGTCCATGGCAAGGACTCTGCACTGCTACAGTGGTTTTACAGTGCCTCCCTTAGAAGTACCTGGGAAAGCAAATCAGACTCATAGAATGGTTTGTGTTGGAAGGGACCTTAAGGCTCCTCCAGCTCCAACCCCTGCCATGGGCAGGGACACCTTCCACTAGAGCAGCTTGCTCCAAGCCCCTGTGTCCAACCTGGCCTTGAACACTGCCAGGGATGGGGCAGCCACAGCTTCTCTGGGCACCCTGTGCCAGCGCCTCAGCACCCTGTTTTTATCCTGATGATGTGTTTGTCCTGTGACAGTAATCAAATACATGAACTGAGTAGTAAAAGGGGTTCAGGAGTAAGGATCAATAAATACTCAAAGCTGTGCATGGTCGGGTGGATGGAATCAATTCCAGCGCTGCCAGTTGATCCAGGTGTGCCTTGCCCAATGTGCAGTGAAGATCCTTCTCATCTCCTGGCCTTTCCAGTCTCTAGCACAACTTAAGGGGCATTGGTCAGTCCCTGAAATCTATAGGTGAAGATTTACAAAGATCTTTGCCCAGAGAAGCTGTGGCTGCCCCATCCCTGGCAGTGTTCAAGGCCAGGTTGGACACAGGGGCTTGGAGCAAGCTGCTCTAGTGGAAGGTGTGCCTGCCCGTGGCAGGGGTTGGAACTGAAGGAGCTTTAAGGTCCCTTCCAACCCAAACCAGGCTGGGATTCTATGGGAAGCATTACAAAAATGGTATTACACGCATATTAGGCAAATGAGGCATTTAAATAAACCACTTTATAAATTCCAGGTGCTGATCTCATGGGAGAACCTTGCATATGCCAAAGGAACATATTGTTTGAGAGGAAAACCTGTTTATAAATATATGCAAACTGAAAGGTAAATAATTGCTGTTTCCAGTAAATTGATGGAATATTCTCTCTCTGCATTGATTATGTTCCCCGCTGTGCAGCATGTTGTGTCAATAGAGCTGGCGTATCTTATGTTTGTCGCCCTGCAGCACCGGAGTGTAGGAAGTGGTTATCTTGTAAGATTTCATTTTTGATTCTTTGCTGCCTCAGCACAGCAGAGAGTTCAAGGGGGCTTTGTTTTGCTCTGTAAATATTTCTGGCTTGGGTTTGGGGTGTTTTTGCAGTGTCATAGACGATGGGAGTGGTAAAGAGTATTTGTCTTCAGCTAGAAGCTCCTCTGCAGTCTGTTTGTGAGGCGTGGGAATTGATATGGCCTTAAAAACAACCACAGTTAGAATCATAGAATCAGACAGGTTGGAAAAGCCCTTCAAGCTCATCCAGTCCAACCCTTCCCAGCACTGCCAAGGCTACCACTAACCCACGGCACTGAGGCCTCGTCTCCACGCTGTGTGAACACTTGCAGGGACGGTGACTGCAGCCCTGCCCTGGGCAGCCTGTTCCAATGCCTGAGCACCCTCTGGGGCAGGAATTGTTCCTCAGCTCCATCTAAACCTGCCCTGGTGCAGCTTGAGGCCGTTTCCTCTTGTCCCATCCCTTGTTCCTTGGGAGCAGAGCCCAGCCCCTCCTGGCTCCATCCTCCTCTCAGGCAGTTGGAGGGAGCCATCAGCTTCACACTGAACCCCCCAAGTCCCTCAGCCTACCTCTCTTAATTGCTTGTCCGTATTGTCTATGCAATCAGTTTAATTTCCCTACCTTTTCAATCATTCAAAGCAGTCAGAATTTGAGTTTATATTATACCAGAGGAGAAATACAACGGAATAAACATTTTCATATGTGTTTATTGTTATTTTTAAGCTATATGTAAGACCAATTCTTTCCATGTCACCTATCACCCTTTGACAAACTAACACCATCATTTATGTAGTGATAGAAATGAATCCAGATAAGCAGAGAGGCAAAACAGTTACAGGCGCCTGGGTTTAAGAGCTCACTTTGTAGAGCCAGGAGTGGATGTGATACGATGCATGGCGCAAGGACACGAACAGCAGGTCTGGTTTGTGAGTGCTCCATGACAGGGGCGTTTCTGTTGAGCGCTGGGATTAGTGCTTCTGTTGAAATTCATATAACACTGCATTGCCAGGGTGGTTTCTAAAAAGGATGCTCATCCTTCAGATTGCAAAAGCTTTCAGTCAGAAGAAGTATTTCAAGCTGAAGAAATCTTTCCTTTCTTTCCTAAATGATGATCAGTTTTCCTCCCAGATCCCTGTGAGATACTCTTGCATATGTAAGACAGCAGTGGGAATGAAAACATAAATGGTTTTAGAGTGTTAAGACATAGACAAGCAACAGTGAGTTTTGTTGTGGGTGGCTACTGCGCTAACATCTTAGGGAACATCAAGGAACTGCTGTTGTTCATTACGGGTGTCCTGTCTGACTTTTGCAGGGTAACATCTGCTGGCTTATGCAGCAAATCATGCTCCCCCTGGGGGGGGAAAAACCCCTCTGTGTTCCTGCCCGTGTCGTCCCAAAGATTGGTGTTTGACAGAAGAGCAGTCAGCTGCTATGGTGATGGGCACAGCGAGGAACATGGACAGAAATAGCGGCGAGGCTGGAGCCAGACTACTCCTGCTTCCTTATGGCTTCAGTAGCCTGTTCGGCGTTCGATGGAGGCTGATTTCAAGAAGCGAGCAGGTTATTTTGCTGGTTTCTGCCTCAGATTCTCCCAAAGAACACAAAAGAATACTCAGGCTTTTAAACAGCAGGGTGAGATACTCCAGTGGATGCTGTTCGTACAGGACTGCCTGTAGTTCCCTGCAGTGCAGCTTGCGCCGTTGTGCTTGAATTTGGATGCGCTGAGCTCTCCCTCCTTCCACACGAGCTGAAGTCAGTTTTCAGTGATGCATAATTCATACAGCGAAGCCCACTATCCTTTGTCACAAAAACAGGATAGTGTTTTTTTCCCAGGAGTTGTTAAGCCTGCTTTTCTATTTTTAGTTCTGTTCCCTAATAATCCCCCAAATCAGCCTGAAGCGGTTTCAAAACAGAGCTCGGAGTAAATCTGACACAACTTGTACGGCAAGGATGTTGCTCTACGCGCTCCATGATCCTCTGTCTGCCACCTGCTCTTTACAGCTGCTTCCTCCACAAAGAATTATCTCCTCGTGGCATGGGGACTCACCACTGCCAGGGCATTAGTGCGTAAGTGTACCGCACCTCGAGGTCTACCAAGAGGTTTGTAGGCCGTTTGGATGTATTACAAGGAGTTATCTGCACATACACCTCTGTATGAAACAGAAACAGCAATTTCTTGCCATGGATTTTGAAGCTCTGATTGAAAATTACTCCTTCCACAAGGGCATGATACCTTTATTGTAGTAGCGGGGTTCACGGTAAAACTTGATGGCCTGTTTTGACTATAGATGCACTGACATTGGTGCAGATTGTGAGGAACTGTAACTGGCTAAAAACCTGTTTTAAGAGAGTGGAGGAAAAGAACTATTCCAAAGTTGTGTTTTAATTTACCTCTTTGTAGAACAACTCAAAGAGGGGACTGATTCAAACAGCTTCTGGTATTTTTGTCTTCCAGATTCTGAGGACAAAACCTGTTGATAATGAATTGTTCCAGAAGCACACGGAGAAAATTGTACCTTGTGGAGGCTGTTTTGTCTGAGGTACAGCACATCTGTGTCCCTCCCTGGCATCAGCTGGTGTTCTAATACCTTGTAACCATGAGAGCTTTCCTGCTGGAAGCTTTCAGAAGCTTCTGCAATTAAAAAGATCAGTTTATTGTGCATACATAATGGGATGTTTCACCAGTGGGGAATCGGGGAATCACAGAAGAGTTTGGGTTGGAAGGGACCTTCAAAGCTCATTTAGTTCCAACCTCCTGCAGTGAGCAGGGACATCTTCAACTAGACCTGGTTGCCCAGAACCACATCCATTGAATGTCCCCAGGGATGGGGCATCCACCTCCTCTCTGGGCAACCTCTGCCAGCGTTTCACCACCCTCATTGTAAAGAATTTTTCCTCACATCCAGCCTGAATCTCCTCTCTTTCAGTGTAAAACCGTGACCCCTCATCCTGCCACAACAGGCCCTGCTAAAAAGTCTCTTCCCATCTTTCTCATAGACCCCTTTTAAGAACTGAAAGACCACACAACAAGGTCTCCCCTTAAGGAGCCTTCTCTTCTCTGGGTTGAACAACCCCAACTCTCTCAGCCTGGCTTCATTTGAGGGCTATTTGCTTGTGCCAGAGGAACATTGCCCTCATCTCTAACTCAGTAGCTCTTTTCAGTCCAGCTAAAGAAAGCACAGAAGGGAAGGGATGTGTGAAGTACCATCATCAGCATAGCAAGTCCTGGCAGTGGTGGTTTGTCATGTCATTCGTTTCATCCCAGATGACCCAAGTGTCTTTTCTTGCCTGCTTATGTGAAGCCACCGCAGACCTTCTCATCATACTGAATTCCATCTGGGGAGGCTTTGACCGTTTCTTGCATGTTGTCAGTTTGAAGATGACAGAATTGTTTGGTGAGAAAACCTTTAATGCAAGAGGTTGGGAAAGTTGGGTCTTTCATAAAACCCAAGTAAAACTCGAGGAAGAATCTCCCAAGTTCAGTGTATTGATTTCCTCATCAAAGTTCAAGAGCTGTGTTTCATGGCAGGCTGAAACTCATCTCAACTCCTTATGACCAGCTGAGCAAGAGAGATGGGATTTGATGCTATCCAAGGTGTAATTCCACAGTTCATGTCTTTTGCTAGTGCCAGCTTAATAAGTTTCTGCCTACTCCCAGCCGTTCATTTTCAGCTCAGCAGCAGTGCGGTGCTGTCTCTTCCCTGACTGTGTGGAAAACCAGATGACTGCAAATAGCCTCAGTCAAGGAAAGGAGCACTTGTGAGGTTTTTCTTTTGAATTGGAATGATTTGGATGACCTTGCGCACAGCACAGCCCATGGGCAGTTGTGTCAGTAGAACTGAAGGTGATGCTGACTGCAGCATCAGAGGCAGCAGCGAATGCTGGAGGCTGTCCCAGTGTTGCTGTCAACAGAGATCTGCTCTGGGACCATACCCTGGCTGAAGGGCTTTCACTATCCACAGTCTTACTTATTGAGCTACTGCTTTTCATTTCATTTCGTTTTATTAAGAAGGATTAACATCTTGCTTGGGCAGGTTTGAGGGGTTTTTTTCTCCTTCAGGAGATAAGCCATGTCTGTGAGCAGTCAGTCAGCTTTGTGGACAGCCATGAATGTCAATAAAGTCCTGGCAAACGCAGGAGGTATTTATTGAGCCTTGCAAATTAAAAACACTTTTCCTGCTTGTTTAGTGAAGGGAACAACAGAAAAAAAAACAGACAAATGACAGAGCGGATGAGCTCTCTTGGTAGTTGGTATTTATTAAGCTGGTGGTGAAAACGCCGGGGGAATTGATGGTGCAGAAAACTAAAGGATGAAGCAGCTTTTCCCCAATAGCTGCGGTTTTAAGTTCAAGTTGAAAATGACCAAGCGAAGAAATCCCTTAAAGACATCTGTAGCTGACTTCACAGCCTCCGTTTCTCCCTTGCTAGGCAGTTCTTCCTCACTGCAGTCCGTATTAATTGCTTTTTCAGCTGACAGATAATATCTCAGTGGCTCCTCCATCTTCGTCGTGCTGTTGGGTGTCTGCAGCAGCTCATAAATGAGATACACGGTTCAGCAGGATGTTCACACGGGCACTTCCCATGCTAGAGCCATGGCCCTGAAGCAGAGGCTCTCTGCAGAGATGTCAGTCTGTCATCTCCCCTTGGCTCCACGTGTTATTAAAGGAGAAGGGAAAGGAATTTCAGAAGTTACAATAAGTGGAATGGTTTGTCAGACATAACCTACGCGCAGGCTATTGTCAGCAAATTACAGGCTGACTGGGTCTTTCAGCCTGTCAGAGATGGATTGTAAAGCTGTCATAAGTAAAGCTCTAACAAAACCCATTTAGGCAGCTCCTGTTATGGCAGAGCATGGAAAGGAAGCAGTAGGACTTTGTCTGGGTTTCCTACAGGATCATTAGTCCCGTTGGGAGTCTTTCTGCGTTGCGACCAATAGATGTTCTCTCTGATTATATCTGATTAACATGATAAAGTGCCCACGGTTGTCATTTGCAGTTAAAGATGGGATCACAGTTACATATTATTCCGAGTGCTTAACAGCAGGGATTCATCCCTGGAAGAGAGAGGGCTGGTTACCTGGTAGGCATTTGCATGCAGCGAAACCACCTGTGAATCATGAGAATTATTCAGCAGCAAAACTAAGCCATCGTAAACTCTGATCTCACAGTGCTTTAATCACAGATAAAACTTGCCTCGTGTAAGTAATCCCATCAATGTCAAATAAAAACATGTGAATTACGAAGGATTTAAGATCAGGGCTTAAGTCACTGCCGTGTCATCTCTGGAAGATTGCGGAGCAGTGTTAGATGTAACTACAGGCACACAAATGTAATTGGGAGCAAAAACTTGCATCCAAGTCTATGAATTCTTGCTGTTTCCCAAGCTCTCACATAGATATAAAGACATTATCTCTGCTGTTCCTCTTCTTCCCTTACAGTTAAACGAGAAGATTGCTCTCAGCTTTCCTCATCATTAAATGAAGGAAGGACAGAGCAGTTCAAGATCTGAATTCATCTTCTAAGACTTGCAGGACCTAATTAGGAGGAGGCATCTCAGAGAAGTACAATAGCTCTCTATCTGCAGTTCATTTGCTTTTCCAATTTAGAAATGACAGTTTACAGCCCTAATATGAGAGTGTTTCTCATTATCTGTGTTCTAGAAACATGCAGAGTTATTACAAGTTTTGAAAGAAGCTTTCTTCAAAAGTGCAAATGATATTAAAGGGAAGGATCTGCTCCCTGCATAGTCAGAGATGCTGTTGTCTGCACCCCTTCTAGGGCTTGTGGAAAAGACAGATCCGTACAGCTGGACCCTGGCTTCGGATCCAATGTGCCCCACGAATGCAGCTGCACAGGAGCAGATGGAGCAGCAGGATTTAGCCTTGTCTTGTCCAGGGAAGATGCTGGGGGGGAAGCGTCGTTGCTTTCCTGGTTTGCCAGATGGATCTCAGGTTTCTTGGATGTTCTCATGAAGATTTTCTTGGAGAGGCATGTGGTAGCTGTGCTGTTGACAGATACCCTCATGGGAACTGTCCACACTAGTTTGAGATCTCTCTTCTCTATCTTCAGCCATCTAGCAGTTGGGTTTCTAGTCTAAGCTGGTTGTTTTTACTATCATTGTGGTAAATGGAAAGGGAGATGCAGCTCTGTAGCTAATGAAACCTCCAGAGTTAGGTTTTTCACATGGTTTCTGCCCCCTGAAGAGAAGGAGTTGGAGGATGTTTGGCTGTCTTTAGGAGACCACAGAGTGGTTCACCTTGGGTGATGGTTGTAATCAACTGAAACCAGCCTTCACAGGACTTCCGGGGCAGGTACAGTGCGCACTGAGTGTAAGAGGGGAAAAGTAAGGTGCTTCACTCTTCTTCAGCACACTCCAGCAAGGTAAAGTGTGAGGCTGTTGAATGGCTGGAGGAAACAGTTCAGTCCTGCCCGCCCTTTGAAGCTGCTTTCTTTTAGCCACGCTAAAGCATTCGTGTTCCTTATGGCATATTCCCAGCGAGCTGTCTGCTGGGGACAGAGCCTGGGAGATGGGCACGAGCGCAGCTCAGCCCTGCTGCTCCCAGCCAAGCTGCTTCCTGCCTGCTCGGCTCCACACAGACACGTTCTGGACAGGATAGCTGCAGCCTAAATCCAGCGCTGATGTGGCCTGGCATGGTCAGAGCTCTTCCAGTAACCGAAGCGACTTGCCTGTGTTCCGAGGCTCAGCCTGCTTGCTTTGGTTGTTTTCCTTCAAGCCGTGGTGTTGGACACCCTCCTGGGGCACGTGGTTTCCTTGTGCCCCCCTCTGCCGTGGCGACACATGCTGTGCCTGCTGTGCAGCGCTGCTCCTGGCGCTGTGTTCCTCGCTGGGAGGCTGGGATGCAGGGAACACATCAGCCTGAGCCCCCCCACAGCCTGCAGTTCTGCAGATGCGATCGGGGTGCATTTGTGCTGCCAGCTCAGAGGAGGAGTCACAGGGAGGTTATCCACAAGAAAAAAAAACATCTGTTTGAAGGGAGCCAATGGTTTCAGTAGCAGACTTCCAGGAAAAAAGCCTGTGTCAGACTTCTTGGAAGTGGTGCTGGGACCAGGTGGTAAGTGCCAGATCTGGGGAGTCTGCAATTAATGCGGTCCCTAACGTGAGGCTTTTGGGCACATGCTTTTCTCTCACGGTGCAAAGAGCCACCTCGGTGAGGGGAGGCAGGTGGGCTGCCCTTTAGGAGGAATATTCAACATCTCAGCATTAATACGGAGCTTCTGTCGCACGCTGCTGCTTTTAAAAATAAGCTGTGTTACAGGAGGCCTTTCACGCGTCCTTTCGCTGTCACTAGAGGGAGTTTGGAGCCGTGCTTCCCGAATGGATTCGCAGTGTTTTAATAGGAGACAGTAATAAAAGTGGGATGAAGGTCCTGCTTTTCTCGTGAAGTGCTTGTACATGTTCTCCAAGCTTGTCTGACTAAAGGCTTCAGAGCCACTCTGCTGCAAGCAATTCTGTTCCTATTGGTAGCACTGTAATAGAAAACAGAAATAATGACTCAAATCAAGGGTAAAAATAAGGAAAAAAGCATCAGCTATTTAATAGGAAGAATAAAAACCCCAACATGGATAGGTATTCTTCTGTGGCATTTCCTATTTATTGTTTCAGGAATATCATCCCAGCTGGAAATAAGCTCCCTCAGGAAGCTGGTTTCATATGGTGGTTTAGATTTAACTATTCATTGTCTAGCACCATTTGAAATCAGTGTTCTTGGAGGAAGAATGCCTGCCTTCATCAGCCAACGGGATCCTCAGAGGCCTTGATGGGAAAGAAGAGGAGGTGAAGATCTTCCTTGGGTGCTTCTGCTGTGACAGTTGGCTCCACCACCAAACTACGTTCCTCAGCAGGCTGGGACTGCAGGGTCTGTGGCCATGGTGACCCTAAGGAGAGCAATGCAATGCATGCTTTGAATCTCTGCTGTAAAATACTGCTGGCCATCAGCATGTTTATAGTGTTTATAGGTGGTGAGCCATAGCTTTGGGAATGGAGAAGGGCTTACGAGGTGTGAACAGTGCGAGGAAGTGTAATACAGAATTGCAACACAGAACTGAAGATGTTAATGCAAATGTTAATGTAAATCTAGTACAAACACTGTGGGGAGGGATAAGGAAGAGAACTTCATCTGCTCCACTTGCTTTTCAACTCAAAACCTGTTTCAGCCTTACACAGATCATTTTCTGTTAGTTCTTTACCTCCCTTGTAAATACCTTGTATCATACAAGACACACAATAGAATTTAAAGCAGATGATGTTAAATTTAAGCACTAGAGTTTTGGGTGCTCTCGACATCCGTGCTGTGTTTGCTTTTTCATTGTGGCGTGTTTGGCAGATCTGAATATGCTTATTTATGTTGTGTGACTCAACTTACCAGTATTGAGGCTGGATATGCTCATTGCAGTGGATGGACATGGCCAGCACCAGCATGTGTGAGAACTGGACTGTGAATGGTTTCTCATGGTGTCCGTGTTTCAGATTGGCTTTTCCCTATTAAAAGCTGTTTGTAGCTGATGATTGATGTTGAAAGTTTTCACTTTCTAAACCTTTATTTTAACAGTATTTATAATACTCTTCAGTGAATGATGCCACAGAACTAATTCATTAACACTTCAAAGTATTTGGGGAGCCTCCAGTGTAAAACACTCTCCAGCATTTTAACTCTTCCTCCTTGCAGATCTCAGTAACCCCTTTAGAGGATGACTGATTTCTTTTGGTGTTCAGAGTCAATAATATTTTCTAGCACCATTTGAAATCGGTTATAGTGATGGGGGAATTGCTCCTTGTGACTTTTATACATCAGGCTCCAGAGGCGATCTTTAATAGGACTGAAAACAATGTGTTTCTTTAGTGAACTGAGTTGCTCAATGCAGAAATACTACGGGTTTAGGTGCTTTTGTATAGCTGGAGGTTTTTCCTAGGAGACAAGACAATCTTTGGTAGATAGAGTATGTAAAACATGTAACACAAGGTCTTGATTTAGGTTGTCTGTCTAAAGGTGGAACGGTTTGGAAAGCCACACAGGACTGAGTGGAGGTAAAGGGAGATGGTTTTCCCGATGAGAATTGTCAGTGTGAACTGAAAAGCAAAGAAACTCACCCTGTTGGTTTAATGATCCACCCATGAGGTA